AAATGTGGAAATATTCTATGTTCATGGATTGGAATATCAATATTGTTAAGATGCCAATACTTCTTAAGTTGATAGATTCAACCTAATTCCAATGAAAATTCCAGAGTATATACTTTAAATACTGATAAGCAGTTAAAAAATTATATAGAAATGAAAAGAATCTAGATAGCCAAAATAATTTTTTAAAAGAAGAACAAAGTTGGAGGACTTATAGTACCTGACTCCAAGACATGTTATAAAATTACGATTATCAAGGTAGTTTGGTATTGGCATTAGTGAAACAGAATTCAGAGTACATGCATAGAGCAATACACATATGATCAAATGTTTTTTTGACAAAGGTTCCAAGATAATTCAATGGGCAAAGGATAATCTTTTCAACATATGGTGCTAGAATAATATGCAAAGAAATGATCCTCACTGCTTACTTCACATAATTTTCAAAAATTACTCAAAATGCATTAGAGACCTAAGTGTATAATGGGAGCTACAATTCTAAGCTATAAAATTATATACTATAAAATTTCTAGAAGAAAACATGGGAGAAAATCTTGGTGAAATTGGGTTCACAAAAAAAATTCTTGAATGTGACACAAAAAAGCACATACCCTATTGGAAAAAATGATAAATTTGATTTTACCATATTATAAACTTTTGCCTTTCAAAAGACACTATTATAAAATGAAAAGGCAACTACAGACTAGAAAAGAATATTTGTAAAATATATACCTGTTAAAGGATTTGTGTCTAGAATATATAAAGAACTGTTATAACAATTTAAATAAGACAAACAACCCCAATAAAAATAGCGAAAAGATTGAAACAGACACTTCAGCAAAGAAGATATACAGATGGCAAATAAGCACATGAAAAGAGCTCATCATAATTAGTCATTAGAGAAATTAAAATAAAACCTAACTAAATACCAGTACATAACCCACAAGAATGGCTAAAATTAAAAAGACTGTACAAAGTCTTAGCGAGGAAGTAGAGTAACTATAACTTGTATACTGATAGGAATGTAAAATTTTGGATAAATTTGGCAATTTCTTAAAATGTTATAATACACTTACCATACTATTCAGCCTTCCACTACTAGATGCTTACCAAAGATAAATGAAATCCTATGTTTACACAGAGACTTGTACATGAATATTCATAGCAGCTTTATTTATAATAGCTAAATACTGGAAACAATGCAAATGTCTACCAACATGTGAATGGATAAACAAATTGTTGTATATCCTTACCATGGACTATTACTCAGCAATACAGGGGAACAAACTATTCATACGTACATCAAGATGAATGAATCTCAAGATACTTATGCAGAGTAGAAAATGCCAGACAAAAGATAGCACATACTCTATGATTCCATTTACATAAACGTCTAGAAAATGCAAACTAACCTGTAGTGACAAAAATCACATGAGTAATTGCCTGGTGATTGAGAAAGAGGGAGGAACTACAAAAAAGTCTGAGGAACTTTCTGGAATGGTGGATATGTTTCCTATCTTGAGGGCTGTGACAGTTTTATGAGCTTATACATATGTCCAATTGTGAAATTTTATATTCTAAATGTGTGTGGTTTATTGTACATCAATTAGACCTCAATAAAGCTGAAATAAACCATGTAGTTATTTGAAGCAAAAATCCTAACACTGTATAATGTGAGGCCATTATTCATGTAGATCTTCTAATATATATGACAACAACAGCACAAAGGACAAAGGGGAGTATGTGTAGCTATCCGTCTCCAAGTTCCTACATTTTTAGTAAAGTAGGACAACATTAACTTTAAGTAGTATTTTAATAATTTAAGGATGCATTTTGAAATCACTAAGGCAATTGCAAAAAATTCAAGAAGGTACAGGCACACAGCCAGTAGAAGAATTAAAATGGAATACTAAAAATATTTGCTTAACCAAATGAAGATAGGGAAGGGGAATTGAAGAACCAAAAACAGGTGAGATAAAACTGAAAACAAACAGGAACATGGTAAAAACAATCCTAATCATGTCAATAGTTACGTTGAATGTAAATGAAGTAATCACTCCAATCAAAAGGAAGAAATTGTAAGACTAAATAAAAAGCCAATATTCAACTATAGGTTGCTTGCAAGACAACCTTTAAACATGAAAAAACAAAGAGGTTGTAAGTAAAATGATGGGAAAAGATACACTATGCAAACCACAAGCATAAGAAAGCTCAAGTGGCTATATTAATATCTGACAAAATAGAACTCATAGATAATTAGATAATTCCCCTAGGAGAATTATCATAGATATGAAGAAATATTTCATAATGATTAAAGGGAAAACATAATAATTGTGTATGTGCCCAGTAACTTAAAAATGCATAAAGCAAAAATCAGCAGAATTAAGGGGAGAAATAGATAATTCCACAATTGCAGTGGGAGATTTTAACACCCCCTTCTCAGTAATTAATAGAATAATTAAATATCATAAAGATACAGAACGAGAGTTAGCACGCTTTTTCTATTAAGGGTCAGATAGTCCAATATTTTAGGCTTTGTGGGCCACATGTGATCTCTGTGGTATATATATATTTTTAAGTTTATTTATTTTGGGCTGCGGTGGGTCTTTGTTACTGTGAGCCGGCTTTCTCTGGTTGTGGCAAGCGGGGGCTACTCTTTGTTGCGGTGAGCAGGCTTCTCACTGCAGTGGCTTCTTTTGTTGTGGAGCACGGGTTCTAGAGCGCAGGCTCAGTAGTTGTGGCGCCTGGGCTTAGTTGCTCCGCAGCATGTGGTATCTTCCAGGACCAGGGCTTGAACCCGTGTCCCCTGCATTGGCAGGCAGGTTCTTAACAACTGTGCCACCAGGAAAGTCCCTCTGTGGTATATTCTTTATTGTTTTTTTTTTTTTTTACAACCCTTAAAAATGTAAAAATCATTCTTAGCTCATAGGATGTATAAAAAATAGGCTGCAGGCCAGATTTGGTCCACAGGCTGTAGTTTGTTGAATCTTGATATTGAAGATCTGAATATCACTATCAACCACCTTGATCTAATTGAGATTTACAAAATAATTGCAGAATACACATTCTTCTCACGTGCACATTGAATGTTCACCAAGATAGACCATGTACTGTACCATAAAACAAGTCTCAATACACTTCAAAAGACTGTAGAGTATATTCTCAGACCACAGTATATTTAAAATTGGAAATCAGTAATTTTTTTTTTTTTTTTTTTTTTTTTGCTGTACACAGGCCTCTCACTGCCGCGGGCTCTCCCGTTGCGGAGCACAGGCTCCGGACGCGCAGGCAGGCCCAGCGGCCATGGCTCACGGGCCCAGCCGCTCCGCGGCATGTGGGATCCTCCCAGACCGGGGCACGAACCCGTGTCCCCTGCAACGGCAGGCGGACTCTCAACCACTACGCCACCAGGGAAGCCCTAGAAATCAGTAATTTTAAGGTATCTAGAAAAGCCCTAAGTATTTAAAAATTAAATAATACATCTCTAAATAACCCATAGGTCAAAACAGAAATTATACTGGATATTAGAAAATACTTTGGATTAAATGATAACGAAAATATATCAAAATTTGCAGAATGTAGCTGAAATAGGAATTAGAGAAATTTATAGCTTTAAATGTTTATATAAAAAAGGGATAGAGAAAACAATAAAACAAATAGGATAAATTCAAACATTTGGTGGATAAAGGATATATGGGAGTTCCTTATACTATTCTCAAAACTTTTCTGTAACTTAAAATGAAAAAAAAAGAAAGCTCCCCCAACCTCCTTAATTTTATATTCAGCCAAGTTGTTATTCACATGTGAGACTGAGAAACAAAAAGAGATAAGATTGGGTCAAGACAGTGGATTATCTCTCTTTCCATCCAAAATTACAAATATGCATGAAGCTCTGTAAAAACCAGGGTGACATTAGCAAATAAGAAATTTCACATAACTACTAAAAGATAGAAATCAGACAGGATGACATCTATGGGGATAAGAGTGGAGAAGAATCAAAGTACTAATCAGAAGAGCAGTAATTAACTAATTAAACAATTTTGGAATCAGAAATTAACTGACGAGCTGCTTTCAGAAGAGTAGGTTGAGTAGGTTAGTCCCTCCTTGCCCTGGCCTATATCAAGAAGTACGATGAAAAGGTATTTCCCTCTACACTAGTGGTTCTTAACTTTGCCTGCCTGCACATTGAAATCATCTGGGTAGCTTTAAAAAATACTGAGCCTCAGATTCTTATTTAATTGATCAGAAATGAGGCCTGAGCACCAGACCTATGTTTAGTATTGAAATATAGTATAAATTAGAGAAAAATAAACTTGCCTTAAAGTGCTAATTAATGTAGAGTTACTGAGAAGTTTGGTCCTGGTACAGGAATTTGGGAGGTAGAAGAGAATACAAAAATATATCCATGTGAATTGCTATTTCAAGTAGTAAGTGGACCATTTAATAAGTAAGCATTTGGAAAAAACAAAATACTGGACTACAACTACCTTCCTTTATAACAAAATAAACCCCAAGTGGATTAAGGAGTTGAATAAAACATGGAAATAAAAAAGTACTAGAAAAAAAGAACAGGTAGATTCTTTTTTTCATAATATTAGGTAAGTAAGTCCTGACAAACATGCCACAAAACTGAAACTACAAAAGACATTATTTAAATTTACTGAATAAAAACTTTAAACTCATCTATTGGTAAAACACATTATTAACCAGAGAGCAATACAGCTAAAAATTAAGAATATTTGTAGTGTTCTTACAAACCTGGGAAGTTCCCGCAGATCAATATAAAAACATAATAACATGCAAATGAGAAAAGGACTTAAGCACATGCTATTTTTATAATGAAAAACTAAAATATAAAGCAATATTCAAATTACTATAATACCCATCTATAAATCAAATGTTATTTTAAGACCCTCACCAGAAAATAAATCATTAGAAAATTTTGACAAAAAAATAATGATACACTTGATTTTGGCTATTTCAATCAGCAGTATATAATAAATTTACTTACAAGTTGATATGCGTTCTTGACTTCTTGCAATCCTGTCCTTTATAGATTCTGAAGGTGTTTTCTTGCTACCATGAATGGTCTTTGTGGAGAGTTCGTTCAGCTTCCAGTGGGTCCAAAAGTCTTTTTTAGGTTTTAAACCTGTTGATACAAATATGTATATTTAGCCAAAGAAATTAGGAGTTTAAAAATATCTTTTGTCAAAGCCTTTTTAGGAGCATTATACATTTCATTCTCACAACAGTCCTGTGAGGATTGTCAGTCTCAAGTTTCAAAAGAGGAAATCTCTACATAGAAATGTTAATGTCTTATCATATAAGACTGAGAATTAGAAAAGAGATAAGCTTGATATATACTTTTCTGACTCATAGACATAAGCTAAGTTCATAAATGGACATAAGGGGAGATTAATATTGTGAAAACTTGGAAAGGACCTAAATATCCAACAACAGTACATCCATACAGTGGATCATGAAGTATCCATTAAAAGTTACCTTGTAAGTATTTGTTAACATATAAAGGCAATCATAACATGTTTTTATGTGAAGGACAATTTTACCGTATACATATGTGTGACTATAGCTTAAACATTAACATGATTTCCTCTCAGCATAGGTGATTATTGTTTTAAAAATTTCCCTATCTGTATTTCCTATTATTTTAAAAATAATGTTTATGAATCAATTATAGTACCCTAAAAGAAATAAAAATAAATTCCATTTAAAAAGTTCCATTTTTGTTCCAAAAACTGTATAGGGTTGAATAATTGATTTAACCACACTAAACATTTATATCCTCAGCAATAAAAATGAGAACAATATAAATTCCTTTGCATACTCCATATGTTTATTCTGATGGTTGAGACAGTATATGTTAATGTGTTCGGTAAATGGGAAATATGAGCTAATATTATCATTATTAATATACATTGATATACTCATAAACATAGCCAGTATTTTCTCAGCAGTGAGTATTCAATGAGGATTATTTGCTATATTTTGGTATCAAATTGGAATTTTCTAAGTGTTTTTAGATTTGGTTATCGCCTATTTCACATTAGTTGCCACTAGGTAAAGTATTCAGAAGCCTGAAGTGTGATTCGTTTGAATGTTCCTCAATAGACTGTCTATGTTTTAAAATATGTAGTGTATTTGTGGAAAATCTGGGGTATAGTAAGGCTAACAGATCAGGAGATTAAAAGACAGTTTTTTTTTTTATTGAGGGGGGATCGATGTCAGAGTAGGAAGACATGGAGCTCACTTGCTCTCACAAACACATCAAAAATACATCTAGGGGCTTCCCTGGTGGCGCAGTGGTTGAGAGTCTGCCTGCCGATGCAGGGGACACGGGTTCATGCCGCGGAGAGGCTGGGCCCGTGGGCCATGGCCACTGAGCCTGCACGTCTGGAGCCTGTGCTCCGCAGCGGGAGAGGCCACAGCAGTGAGAGGCCCGCGTACCGCAAAAAAACAAAAAACAAAACAAACAAACAAAAAAACCCATCTACATGTGGCAGATTACTCAAAGAAAACTATTTGGAAACCGGCAGAATATCTCCTATAAAACCAAAACTGCAAGATCTCCATGTAACTGGGTAGACTTGCGGGGGAAAAGGCATCGGGTTGGGACCAGCACCCCTGGAGGGGTCTGTAAGGAAGAGAAAGGTCCACACAGGTGGACCCTTGCCCTGGGGAGCCCCCATGCCTGTTGGGAAATCCACTGAGACAGAAGAGCTGGAGAAGCCTAGACTCTAATTGTAAGGAGTGCGCGTGTGCTGGCTTGCCAACAATCAGAGCAGAGAGAGACATGCACTGATGGCTGCCACCTCGTCACACTTCCCAATTTGAAGGGGCAAGTGCCCAGTGCCCCTCACTCCACACTACAGCCTGGCAGGAGATCAGGGGAAAGATTCAGTCTACCTGCTAGAAGTGGGATTGCTGAATCACACGGGAGTTCGATTTTCAATTTTTTGAGGGGCTTCCATACTGTTTTCCATAGTAGCTGCACCAATTTACATTCCCACCAACAGTGCACAAGGCTTCTCTTTTCTCTACATCCTTGCCAACACTTGTTATTTGTAGTCGCTTTGATAATGGCCATTCTAACAGGTGTGAGGTGATATATCATTGCGGTTTTTACTAGCATTTCCCTGGTGATTAGTGATGTTGAACATCCTTTCATGTACCTGTTGGACATCTGTATGTCTTCTTTGGAAAAAATGTCTGTTCGGTTCCTCTGCCCATTTTTAAAATCAGATTGTTTCCTTTTTGCTGTTGAACTGAGTTCCTTTTATCTTTTGGATATTAACCTCTTATCAGATATGATTTGCAAATATATTCCATAAGTTGTCTTTTCATTTTGTTGTTTTCTACTATGCAGAAGCTCTTTAGTTAGATGTAGTCCCACTTACTAATTTTTGCTTTTGTTGCTTGTGCTTTTGATACCATATCCAAAAAATTGTTGTGAATACATATGTCAAGGAGGTTTTCCACTATGTTTTCTTCTTAAGAGTTTTATGGTTTCAGTTCTTTACTCCATTTCAAGTTAATTTTTGTGAGTGGCATAAGATAGGAGTCCAATTTCATTATTCTACCTGTGTGATCCAGTTTTCCCAACACCATTTATTGAAGAGACTATCCTTTTCCCATTGAGTATTCTTGGCTCCCTTGTCAAATATTACTTGACTGTGTTTGTGAGGGTGTATTTCTGGGCTCTCAATTTTGTTCCATTGGCCTATGTTGTCTTCTTTCCTATAGTTTCCATGTCTTGCTCAAATTACATATATGATCATACATGTTATCTATCCATCTTTTCCACTAGAGCATTTACTATATTAATCATAGTTACTTAAAATTTCCTGTCTGATATTCTAATATCTGTGTCATATCTAAAACTGGTTCTGATGATTTGTCTCTTGATAGTGTGTTTATTTTTTCCATTGCTTTTTTGTAGACTTCATAATTTTTGTTGAAAGTCAGACATATTGTGTAATGCAGGAAAGATGAGGTAAATAGTTTTCAGGCCTTGAAATGGGCTTTTTGTTTGGTCTTAAGCATGGGTAATTAAGTCAATCTGGAAGGGAACTGAGAGTTGGGCTGTGTTTGGGTTTTGTTGTTACTATGATTACCTTTAGTGCTCTACATGCTTCAAATTCCTCTTACGATGTAAACTGCCTTGCCAGAGGTTTTTGTTTTCTGTTAGTTTACTTCCACATCAGCATCTGCTCCACTCTCAGTTTTAGATCTTTTGTGTCTTCTCAGAAATGGTCTTTTCCACACTTGTGCCCCTCTCCCAGCAGTAGACTGCTGTTACCTGTCAGTTGATGTTTGTTAGCCTGGTAGTGGTAGGTATTCTCTGTTCTGAATCAGCATCAGCGTTGGGTTTTGTTCCTGGGTCTTGGGATAGGGTCTTCTCAGTAATCCAGCCTTGCCCCAGCTGTAGCAAACTTGTTCTTGGCCCAGTATGTATTCCTGGCCTCTGGGGTAGAGGTAGTTTTCTGTTTCCCAGGTGAGCTGTGTCTCCACTTCTTCCCTAAGGGCAACTACATTTGCTGCTCTTCCTCCCCACAACCTTTCCCCCTCCTCCTGCTGTGGCTTAAAGCTTGTTGTTGTTGTTAACATAGAGGAGATAGAAGGATCCCGGCAAGGCTTTATGCCTTTTTTTCAGTGCTTCTATTACATTCCCCCAGGCTTTCTCAAGACTGTTATTCCACCCTCAGTATTTCTTGTAAGATGTGTGGAGAGAAGCTTGCAAGAGAGGGCAACTTCTCCCTTGTTTTAGGTAGCTACTAAGGGTTCTATATTCTCACACTAGACCATACTCAGCTTTAAGCAATTCATTAAAAATTTTGGCAAAGGGAATTCCCTGGTGGTCCAGCGGTTGGGACTCCGTGCTTCCACTTCAGGGGGCTGGGGTTCAATCCCTGGTCGGGGAGCTGAGATCCTGCAAACCACGTGGCGCAGACAAAAAAAAAATTTTTTTTTGGTTGAATTCTTCTTACTGGCTTTTATGGTATCTGGCTGCATCTGCCCCCAAAGAGCAAGTGCTTGCATCTGGTCTCTCCTTGGAGGCCCCTTTCTTTAGATTTGGGGTTGACTGCTCTGCAATCTCTGATGGGTTCAAGGAAAGTTTTGAATTTCCAGACAGTCCAGTGTTTTTTGGTGGAAGGGTAGAAGTAATATCATTTTAGTTTTCTACATCCTAAGCAGAAGCCAGAAGTCATGGCACAAATTTTAATCTTGCTCATTGTAAGGCTTCCATGTGGGATTCAGTCATAAGGCTTGTGCCAAAATCTAGCCAATCATACAAAATCTTAATGTGTCTGTAGAGAAGTAGCCTCCAAAGTCTTCCATATCCTAAATTATGTTACATGGCAAAGGGGAATGAAGGGAGCAGATGGAATTAAGTTTGTAAATTGGCTAACCTTAAAATAGGGTATGTGGGCTTGTCCAGGTGAGCCCAATGTAATCAGAAGGGTCCTTAAATATGGAAAAGGAAGGTAGAGGAGTCAGTATCAGAGTGATGCAATATGAGAAAGACTGACTATCCATTGCTGGCTTTGATAATGAAAGAGGGCCATGAGGCAAAGAATGGAAACAGCTTCAGAAAAGTTGCAAAGAAACAGATTCTCCCCTAGAACCTCTAGAAGAACACAGCCCTGCCAAACGTCTTCATTTTAGCCTAGTGAAACTCATTTTGGACTTCTGGTTTCCAGAACTATAACACATTTATGTTGTTTTAAACTCAGTAGTAATTTGCTATAGTAGCAATAGGAAACTAATACAGTCTCTGGTGCTCTAAGAATTGTGTATAAGGAGCTCTGGTAACAAAAATTTTGTTTGTGAAAAACGAACCAAAAATGAAAGCCAAATGACAATGTAAGAAATCAAACTGAATATAATGTAAATAACCTAATAAAGTGATTACTTCATCCTAATAAAAAGGAATTTTTTTTATTAAGGAGGAGAAATTGAATCAAGTATTTTAGATCTATGCTATAAACATCTCCTCAACAAAGAAATAAGAAAAACATGTCTTATAAAATTCTTTCAACAAGTGCTCTAGCCAATACAAAATAATCACAACTGAGAGATAAAATCTTACTAAAAGTTGAAAAGGTCGTTTATGAGCATAGACTCAGAAAA